GTGGGGTTTTGTCTTTAGATTGGTCCCTTTTTTATGAAAATATAAATGTAATATGAATGGCTCATTCCTGTTTGTCAAACTTGCTCTTTATTACTTCCTGTTGCTAATTACTGTTTCCAGCTTCTATGTAATCATTATTTTGTGTTCTGTTAAATCCTAATGTACATCAAAGATGCACTTGGGTGGGATGAACAACTGGAACGTCGGCATCAAAGAAAAAGTGTCTAGACAATCAGCAGCGTGCACGGCCATGTTTCTGTCATGTGTAGAGTGTTTCTGTCTGATTGTGAATAAGAAATTCCAGCAAATGCATGAAAACATCAGGCCTCTGGAACACGCACGATTCCAGCCGTATCTGTGCTGTAAATGTGTCAAAATTAAAGCACGTTTGGAAGTTGAGGGGATTCACTTCTTCTGGGACATTTTCTGCTCTTTTAGTCTTGAGAAAACAACCAATGTTGAGGGAATCTGTGAAGGATGTCGACGTGCAGCTACAGCCGTAAAGACAGTGTCAAAACATTCACATCGGCTGTGATTTAGGCTGAAAATATCAAACTTGGCACAGTCATCGGTCCACTCAGACCCATCAGGGGGACTGATGCCATTTTTGTTTGACAACCACTGGGTTGAATGTTTCTGAAGTTTGCTACAGCTGTTGAAAAGGATCAAAGGGTGCATTCCACCAAATGTGGTGGTGCTCTAATTTTTGTTTTATGTCTAAATGTAGTAATTCATTTATTTGATATGGATAGTGCACCACAATAAGGAACTGTTAAAATATAAATGAATATGCAGGATTGTTGCATGAATGCTAATTTACAGGCAGGACAAAAATGACAAAAGAACACTTCACAGACTTAGAATAGATATAAAAATCGCTTTCTTCTCAGTAGGGTGGAGTCTATCAAAGGTGGTCATCGGGAAAGAGGAGGTGGAGGACACCTTAGACAGGTCGCCAGTCCATCACAGGAACGCACAGAGAAAAACAGCTAGTCACACACCTACGGGCAGGAAACTACCTAGACAAAATCCCATACATGCATAGGGATTTGAACTGGCGTTCTTCTTGCTGCGAGGTACAGTGGAACCAACTGCACCACCATGCAGAAAATGAAAAGCCAAAAATAAATTTTCTGCTAATTTGCAATAAAAGAAAAAGTCTGGAAAAGGATGAAATTTAAAACCCTGCAATAATCATAGTGCAAGCTTGTAAGTAAACACTGAAAGGTGGTGATTTAAACGGCTCTGAGTGTCTGACGGGCAGCACTCGACAGCAGCCAGAATTTACATACAAGCTGCAACATTGTACTGCCAGTTTGACAGTGTCATAAATCAGATGGATAGTTCTGCAAAGGTCCCTGAATAATCAGTGTCCATCATGAGGTCCCGACCTTCTGAGAAATGACAAAAAAAAAAAAAAAAAAACTGACAAGTTTCACAGTTTCAACCCAGAGACAGAAACATGCTAATTTGTAAATAGCTTAAAAGTGCTTTTAACCCTTTAAGGTAGAATATGAGATTTTTTTCCTTTCCGTTGAAGCAAGTTGCTTTTTGAATACAAACAAGTCAAACCAAGCTCCTTTCTTCAGGCGTACTCCCTCTAACCCACTGTGTAAAGACCTTGTTTGGACGTCCTATAGATGTGGTCTGGACAGACAGAGCCAATTTAGTAATGATCTGCACGTCCATGCAACATTGACTGTTTGCAGGGAAGCCACACCTACGGATAGCAGGAGCTGACAAGTTCCCCACAATAAACTAACAGTCAGCTCTACAGGCTGACAGAGGACAGGCTGCAATCACAGACAACAGGTCCGTCACCTAAACGTGGTGGTGGTGGTGGGTGTAGGGTCAGGGGGCAGTTTGACGGATGGATCAGAATCCAGTAGACTAAGCTATGGTTGTTTCTCAGTGCTAAGGAACCTCGCCTTGATGTCTTGGTCCCACCCCGGTTGCCTAGGAGATTCGTCATCAGGAACCGTCAAGGCCCGTTCCAATGTTTATGTTCTACCGAGGCGTCTGTTCTTCGTTTGTTAGCCATTTAGCTAGCTGAGCAAGGATACACGGGAGGTTTCTTGTCGCCTAGCCATGGTCAAAAATTTCCCAGAATACACCGCAGTATTTTGAAAAGGATGGCGGATCAGAAGCCGGCAGCTACTTCTGGGAAAATTTCAAGTTTAAATGTAAGTCAACTAATTGTAGCTATCAGGCTGATATCTGAAATGTTTTTTTTTAGATCCAAAGCAGTTATCTATGGTTGACTAGTTGCTTAGTAGTTGCAGCTTTGTTGGCTAGCAAGTAACTCTTTTACATGTTTAACTTAAACCAGTATATTCACTATTTTAAAGTAAATAAGGCTTGTTTTAGATTTATATTGAAACGTATATGTCTAAAATATAACTTTATGTCCCGTGTCACATGACGTTACATGACCACCACAAGTAAATCTGTTCCATTTAACCATTTTCTTTGACCAAGGACAGTGTCTTTGTAAGCAAGGTGCTTGGCTTCGCAAGACATCACCTTGCGAAGCCAAGCACCTTGACATTGAGAAACACCCAATATGTCACGGTTTGATACTTCCTGACTTTTTAGCCAGCTGAAACACTTCTGGGTTGCAGCAACGTTAGCATTTTTTAACGCTGTTTCATGGTGTTTTTCAAGCAATTGCTGCAGGAACTGCTGATGATACTGAACAACGGGATAATCCAGGCCACATCTAAGATGCAGAATTCACATAAAAAAAAGGGGTTTAAACTTTGTGTTCACTAACTTTCAGAACTATGAAGGTAAGTTGACAAGTTTCTGCTTTGGGTGACAAAATTATGCATGCTAGCTCTTTACTAGCACAGTAAGGACGCAACGCTAACAGCATTAGCAGAGCGTTAGCATATCATAGTTTTGTCCCTAAAGCAGAAGGTTGCATGCAGCTGTCTTTCTTCTTGTTTATTATTGTGTGTGGACGTTTGAGATCACGTGTGGTGTTGCAATTCTCCTGTAATTTTGTGACATCACGGGATCAGCTGTGTGGAACGCTTTCGCTCCCGTTTCACATCAGAATTGCTTGGGAATTGTTGGGAATGAGTTTGCGGATAGAACGCCACCTCTGTTGCGGCTGTTGGAAAGCCGGCGTCAGATTAAGATGGATGCCTGATATTGCTACATGTGACGCAGGTTCAAATAAATCCTGGAAAATTAATTCTTGCCTACTCGTGATACTTTCCGAAACAACTGCTGGCCATAACAGTTTTCTCAGTATTGTATGTTTAAGAGGAAATAATTCTATTTTTTGACAAAACCTTTATCTTATTGCCATTAGTGTGTGACGAGCATTTCAAGCAATATGTCAAGAAATGCACCAGAAAAACTTCATTTCATTTAGACACTGACATTTTTATAAAAGAGGAATTTATCTGTTTTTTTTTTTTACCTGACTCAAGTCGACGGTTGTGTAACAGAAGACTGAAATGTTCTCTTGGAGGAAGGAAAGGTCAGCCAAGCGTGACATCCAGTGGGGATGAAAAAATGCTTGCCTCTGGAATCATGATCTGTACACAAAGAGGCTACAGTTAATGGATGCAGCGGGTATAACAGTAATAGTTCAACAACACACACACACACACGATGCAAAACCCCCATCTGGGAAAGTTCCCCCTCCACCGCTGAAATCGAGGTGACTCACTCCCATCGTGACCTCGTCGTCAGTCAGAGAAAACGTATTTGCTCGTAAATACGGCTGATAAAAATCACCGCTGTTGTACACATTCAGACAAGGCCAGGCACAAACCCTGGAGGCTGGAATTTTATCAGAAGCATATTTACCACCACTGCTTGTCAACCTGTGATGACAGATATGCCAGGAATTCCTCTGATCTCTAAACTGTTGCAAAGTAGAATCTTTTTTTCCCAATGCTTGGAAAACCATTATATTCCCTTCAGTGGACTCGGAAATCTAAAGAGTCAATTAGGGAAAGTGATGTCTAATATTTTAGATTTTAATAGGAATATGAAATATCTCTTTTTTCTCTTTATTTGTTTCATTCAAAGTGTTAAAAATACACATATATATATATATATATATATATATATATATATATATATATATATATATATATATATATATACACAAACAACAACAAAAAACATACGTAAACATGAACACCAATTTGAATGAAAAGGAGCAGAAGGAAGAAATATCTTATATTATCTGCCCCTATTTACAAACCAAACTTTTTAATAATGCTTCCATACAATTCTTAATAAACAACCAAAACAAAATGAAACACAGATTCATTTTATATTCTTTTAACTTACAGACCTAATCAGACACCAACTGAATTTAGGTTATTGTAGTTCTGTAATACACTTGATTTGATACATTTTTTAAATATAATTAGTGACTTTGATTCTTTTATGTCTTTGGTAAGGTTGTTCCATATTCTCACGCCATTTACAGAGATAGTCATTTCCTTCATTCTGCTTCTAAATTTTGGTTTTTTAAATACTTCAGTTCATTTTAAGAAATAATTACTCACTCTTTTTTCAAATATTTTCTGAATGTTTGTGGGTAACTTAAATATCTCATACTACATTTTTTTCTGTACTTAAACTAAATAAACTTTAATACCTAAACAACTATAAATAACATTTTATTGACTAAATCCTTTTAATTCCATATTTCTTGAATAGAATAAACTATTAAAATTACAAATGTACCAAATTATTTGGAATGTGACTTGAATTAAAAAAAAAGTCAATAACAGCACAAACTACCAATTATGTTTTGGCACTATGTAGACCATCTAGTAAATGTAATTTTATTCTATTAGCTCTGTTGTGCAACACAAAAAAAAACTGACATCCCCAAAATAATTAAAAGTTGTTTCAAACATAATTCAGTGCTTCTTTTTAAAAGACTAAAAATAGTTACTAAACAAAATAACAAGAGATTTGCTATTTAGCTCAAGTCTGCCACCTGGTGTTCACAAACAGGACTCACATAGCTTTTAAAAATATGATTTTAATGGATTTACAACCAATAATCATGAGTTTGAAAGAGACGTCTGCAACAACACACACAAACACAAATTAATATCATAATAATAAAAATAAGTTCAATAAAATAAGCTCTAAATAAAACCAGCCCACCACCACAGTCAAACATCACAGAGATATAATACACCATTAAGTGGGGCAAAGAGACACCGGTCGTTTTCTTTCATTTTCCACATTTAGATTCTGATGTTTTTATTGCTTTCACTTGGATTTCTATTGTCTATAGAAAGCAAATCTTCAGCAGTTTTTCGTAAAGTGTTGCATTTGGTGATGCTCTGTGCTTTTTATGTTTTATAAAGCTGAAACGTGAGATTCTCTCTCTTTGGAACAGAGCTGGTGAGTGACTTATAAAATCAAAAACCTGTTTTGTTTTACATTAAAGAGAACAACTTGGATCTGTGTTTCAGCCTGATCACTCGCTGACATAATCTATCTATTACAATGACCCTGTGAGTTGACAACCTTCTTTCCCTACAGAGCATCTGGGGATCTTTGCTGCTGATGCTGTGTTCGTAGGTCACTCAATATTCTGCCTGAGGATCCTTTTCTCCTCCTCTACAAAGTTCTTGTCAGAGGTGGCTTGTCCCAAGTCCCTCTTCCTCTTTTCCTTTTGCTGAAAGGTCTCCACTCGCCGCTTCTTCGCAGACTGAGAGGACTTTTCTGATTCCTCATCTGCCCAAGTGGTGGAGAAATAAAAGAAGTTTTAAACTCAGTCATTCATTACCTACACCACCTGACATGGTGCCATACCAGAACAGGGTTTCCAGCGGGACTCACCTGAGTCAGAAAGCTGCACTTCATCAGGCAAGAAGCGAGCTTTACCCGTGTACGGCTTAGGTGCATCTTCTCCATTGTCCTCATACACATTGGACCACTTGATTGCCATGTCCTGTCCAGGAGGCGGCCCTTTCTTCTTTTCAGGCTCTGCAACATAACTCTCAGGAGGCGGCACAGCGTTCGTCTTCCAGGGCTTAAATTCTCTGGTAGGCTTAAAGAAACAGAAAACCACAGTCACAAGGTGGAAAGTTTTAACCCTTATTTAACTAAAGAGTGACAGGTGATTAAATAAAAATAATCTCTGCCTTCAAATCGTTAAGTGGTCCTTTAAATATGCTCAGATGCCTACTTTAAACAATCAGAACACTCATATATACATTTTTATTATAAAAAGATAAATTAATAAAACAAACGTGGGTAGAAATTTAGCAGTGGATTTATTCAAATTCAAAAACTTTATTGACAAACTCAAGATTACAATTACACAGCTAAAAATAACAAAACAAATAAAAATGAACTAAATGCAAACCATGATAACACACATAAATGTATCTAAATAAAAATGGTTGCTGCCAATTTTGGATTTGTACCTCTTCTGGCGGCTTGACCGTGAGACTGTCCCAGTCTATCTGTTTGTTCAGTGGGTTGTAGAGAAAAGAAGGCTTTGACACGGAGCTGAACAGCTCGTCGGGTCTGGGTAAGGGTGCTCCACCGGCAGCCCGCTTGGCCGCCTGTTGGGACGACTGTTCCCCGCTTCCCTGAGCCTCAGAACCCGCTTTCTTCTTGCCACCGTACCTCTCCTCGTCTGAGTCGCTGCTGCTGTCGCTCAGATCGTCATAACTCGAAAAAAAACCTAAAGAGCCCGATTTATTCTCTTCTGTCATTTTGCTGGTGTTACTAATATTTTATGAAAATGTAAACGGTTGATGTATTTGACTCATAAAGACGAGTAGAAACCGCTAAAGACACTGGGCCACTAAAAAAAGCTTCGTGTTTTACTCCATTTTGAATGAGCCTCCAAAACAGTCGTAAAGGAGTTTAACACTGTCGTAACGATCTGCCGTTCCTCCACAAGGAAGAAAACGAAACACGCGATGATAGGTATTTATGGTATTAAAATAAGGTTACTATCAAAGCGGATAAGTGTTTAATTGTTTTATTTTTCATTTTGCCCCACAAAACAGAAAATATAGACGCCCAACGTGGGGCTCGAACCCACGACCCTGAGATTAAGAGTCTCATGCTCTACCGACTGAGCTAGCCGGGCTGGTGACTCGTCATCTACACCAATCTTTACTGACCCAGCACCCATTGTATTTGCGCATGTGATGCAGGAGAAGAGTTCGATTTTCTAAGTTATTTTGTCTTAAAGAAAATGTTTGAGTATTTGGCATTTTGATGCTACTTCAGGTAAAGTTTATCTAAACCGAACTGCTACTACATTCTAACAAACAAAGAATATCTTATTAAAAAAACTACTACTACATTTTGTTACCACCAGAGGGCGGCACAGTAACGCAAATCTCATAATTTGTTTAAAAATTAGAAAAATCTAAACTAATTCTCAGCTTTTAATCAACATCGTGAAACAGTCTAGCATGAAGTAATCACAACTCAATGACTTTTAGAATTTAATGATATTCATCACACATCTCAAACCTCCAAATTATGACAAAAGCAACTTAGTTCCAAAAGGTTAGACACTTCTCTTAGTTTTATTTCCTCTGATGAATTAGAGGCAGTCAGGGACAGAGATGGCAAAAGTACTGACGTTCTTTACTTCAGTAGAAGTACAGATACCTGTGTAAAAAACTACTCTGGTAAAAGTGAAAGTACTGAGCGAATTTATTTACTTAAAAGGCTCTAAAATGTAATTAAGTACGAAAAATAAAAAAATTAAACCTTAAATAACAGAAAAAAGGGCATCTGGTTTGGGCACTGCCTGTCTCACCTTCTTCATCATTTTCCTGCTGAACTTCCTCTGGTCTCTTATATGAAAAAAAGTGACATGAATAAGGTTTCAAAATAAAATGTGATGAGAATGTCACAAACAAGCAGCAACCACAAGCAGCAACCACACTTACAAAGTCCATTTTTATGTGGAGATTCAACTTTTTTATTTATTTCGTGTCAAATGGTTTTGGTCTGTTACTGTAAAATTCGCCATTTTTTGTTGACTAGTATTGTTTAATGTTTAATGCTGCCTAGCAAGATGTTTACGTTAGTCAGACAGTCTAACGTTTGACCAGAAATGCAATTATCCTCTTGGACTAAATTATTACCAACTCACATTTCCTTTCTTTCTTCCTTTTTTTTTTTTTTTTTTTTTTTTTACCCATGAGAAGAACTCGCTGAGCTGCTGTTGTCCCAACTCCGACTCCCGCTTCACTCAGCCAGCCTGTCTGACTCACTGAGGGGAGGGGTTGTGTCGGTGAGAAGTCCGCGGTGTATTTCAAAATAAAAGCTCGCAAGTCAAATATTTCAAAATCAGATTTTTTTCTTCTCCGTGTTATTGGGGGGGGGGGGGGGGGGGGGGGATTGAAGGGGACACGTCCCACCCATCCCCCCCCCCCCGTTCCTACGCCCTTGCATGCACAAATTGCAATATTTATTGATACATTATCAATCAATCAATCAATCAATCAAAGCTTTATTTATAAAGCGCCTTCCGCAGCCCTGTCAGGAAGCCCAAGGCGCTGAACATGGTATAGTACAAAGTTAAATAAAGTGAATGAATCAGAAAATAAAAGCAATTCAAATTACAGATTACAAATTACAAAAAAACAAACAAACATTATATTGCCATATATATTATATTATTACATATACTACACTATACTAAGCTAGAAAAGTGAAGTATGGCACTTACATTGGAATTTTTAGTGCGCTGCACACAGCTGCAATGGCTCCTTCTCCTTGTTCTCATGATCCTGACAAGTCTCTCCACAGACAGGAAAAGAGAATTCCACCTCATCTCATTTGGCCTCAAGAGCTGGAGTTTGCATTTTTCGGCAATCATCTCTGCAGCTGCGGTGGATCTACCACTTTTGTTCCACAGACTCCAGCACTTTGAAAACGCTGAACGAGAGTTTCTTGTAGGTAGTGTTGGCATTCGCTTCTGAGACATCTACTGTTGACACCACGTTCAGGAGGTGGCAGGCACAGCGATAATGCTTTGGCAGTTGGTATTCTAGGCCATCATCTTCATCCAACATGGCTCCAGCTTCATCAACAAACTCAAGATCCACATTATCCCCTTCGTCCTCGCTGTTTTCTTTTTCTGCTGTTTGATTTGGCCTTGACCCCTCAAAAGGTTCTCCATTCTTTGCATCCAGCTCTCCATAGACTCAAAAAGCTTTAATAAAATTAGAGCCATTATCAGTAGTTGTGTGAACAATCTTATCACGTATGTTATATCCTGTATGCATGTAGTTTAGTGCACCAGCAAGTGCAGAAAATGTGTACGGCCCTTTGAGCTGTTTGCATGCTAGTGCAGCAGAGCATCTTTCCATTGTTTCAGACTCTATCCAGTGTGCTGTGACACCAAAGAAACGTTGTGTGCAGTCCGGCAGTCTGTGGTGGTAGCAATGTACTCGACCCGACTCGACCACATTCATAGCACTCTTTAGATCTCGTCTGAGTTGCTGCTGCTGTCGCTCAGATCGTCATAACTCGAAAAAAAAAACTAAAGAGCCAGATTTTTGTCTTCTGTCATTTTCCTGGTGTTATATTTTATGAAAATGTAAACCGTTGATGTATTTGACTCATAAAGACGAGTAGAAACCGCTAAAGATACTGGGCTACTAAAAAAGCTTCGTGTTTTATTCCATTTTGAATGAGCCTCCAAAACAGTCATAAAGGAGTTTAACACTGACGTAACGATCTGCCGTCCCTCCACTAAGGAAGAAAACGAAATGCGATGACAGGTACGATGATAAGTATTTATGGTAATAATATAAGGTAACTATATCAAAGCAGATAAGTGTTTGATTGTTTTATTCTTCATTTTGCCCCAAAAACAGAAAAACATTGTCGCCCAACGTGGGGCTCGAACCCACGACCCTGAGATTAAGAGTCTCATGCTCTACCGACTGAGCTAGCCGGGCTGCCGTAGTTCACTTCGCACCAATCTTCTATGTGACTCTTGACCAATTGCATTTGCGCATGTGATTCAGAGGAAGAGTTCGATTTGCTGAGTTATTTTGTCTTACAGAAAATGTTCGAGTGTTTGGTATTTTGATGCTACTTCAGTAAAGTTGATCTAAACTTTAGCTACTACATTCTAACAAACATAAAGAAAATCGTTTAGAAAAGAAAAAAATACTTCATTTTATTACCACCAGAGAGCGGCACAGTAACGCAAATCTCACATTTTTTTGTTTCAAATTAGAAAAATCTATTTGACTAATAAAGACGAGTAGAAACCGCTAAAGATAGTGGACTACTAAAAAAAAGCTTCGTGTTTTACTCCATTTTGAATGTGCCTCCAGAACAGTCGTAAAGAGGAGTTTAACACTGTCGTAACGATCTGCCGTCCCTCCACTAAGGAAGAAAACGAAACACGGGATGATAGGTATTTATGGTATTAATATAAGGTAAATATATCAAAGCGGATAAGTCTTTGTTTTATTCTTCATTTCACCCTAAAGAACAGAAAAGTTTGACGCCCAACGTGGGGCTCGAACCCACGACCCTGAGATTAAGAGTCTCATGCTCTACCGACTGAGCTAGCCGGGCTGCCGTTCTCGCGTCTGGCCAGTCTTATCTAGTTGCTATATTTGTATCTTTGCTTGTGGTGCGGGAGAATAATTCAATGTTCTGAGATATTTTGTCTTAAAGAAAACGTTCGAGTGTTTGACATTTTGATGCTACTTCAGTAAAGTTGATCTAAACCGAACTGCTACTACATTCTAACAAACATAAAGAATATCTTTTAGAAAAGAAAAAAAATTACTACATTTTATTACCACCAGAGAGCGGCACAGTAACGCAAATCTCACATTTTTTGTTTCAAAATTAGAACAATCTATTTGACTCATAAAGAGGAGTAGAAACCGCTAAAGATACTGGCCTACTAAAAAAGCTTCGTGTTTTACTCCATTTTGAATGGCAGGCAGAGGTGTGTCCAGCTTCAGTGATAAATTGCATACTGCTGGAAAAGATTTCAGGATATCCATAGAATCTGATGGACAGGCCAGGTAGGACTCCAGCTGCTTGGCGTTTTCCTGATTGTTGCCCTGCCTGATGGTGAAAAAGTTGTCCTCCTCCGCTGAAGAAAAGGACGTGTCAACTGGCTGCACCACGGGTTGCTCCTTCAGATGGCTTCTGATGAAGCCAAGACCTATGAACGACAAAATCAAAAAAGATTATAATTTATCACCAAATTCATCACCTTAATTAAAATAACATAGCTAATTTGTTGCATACTGTAACGTCCCGTCGGACACAATAACGGTCGGAGACTTTAGCCTCAGGCCTTTGTATCCAGCTCTCCATAGACACGGAAAGCTTTAATAAAATTAGAGCCATTATCAGTAGTTGTGTGAACAATCTTATCATGGATGTTATATTCTGTATGAATAGTGCAGCAGAGCATCTTTCCATGGTTTCAGGCTCTATCCAGTGTGCTGTGACACCAATGAAACTTCGTCTGTGCGCAGTCCAGCAGTCTGTGGTGGTAGCAATGTACTCAGCCACATTCATAGCAGCCTTTAGATTTTTCTTCATTTCCAGTGTTACTTTCTCAACTTTGTTCTTTATGGTGCCTGGAGACATTACAGTCATCTGGTTGTAGGTGATGCACGAGAGTTTTAAAACCCTCCTGTTCGACAACACTGAGCCGGTGCAGACCTTGCACAACAAAGTTACTGATGGCATCATCCACGCTTTTTTGTGAAACTCTCTTGGTTTCCCATAATTTTAGTTGTTTGTTTGGGCCTCCGTCATCGGTGTTCAATTTCCGCTTCAGACTGGGCGATGTTAGCTTGTTATACCTTTCCAGGTGATTTGCGTGCTTCCTCTACACAAAGA